CTTCAGATCCAGATCCCTTTTAGCTCTTATAGTCATAAAGTCCACGAATTTATCATGCCTTGGCCCTTCCCTTTGACCTAAACTTCATTTTAGACTTGGAAATGGTGTTCTTAGCTCATAACACCTTGCATGCATGTACAGTTTGTAACTTTATGTGTAATCACGACCCTATGAGGTCATATCTACGTTTTGGATGCGTTGAGCCCGACTAAAATCAACTGTTTGGATTTGGACCTTGAAGGACTCGACGAGTCGCTCCTACGACTCGACGAGTCGGGTCGTAGTTTCTCCAACCTTCTCTTTTACTTAGCAGATCAGTTGAGTCTAGAAGATGACTCAGCCAGTTAGACATGTTTTGGACTTAAGGTCAAGAACTCGACGAGTCCAAGGATGAACTCGGCGAGTCAATGAGCAAATGTCCCGACCTGTATGAAGGAGAACTCGATGATTCCAAGGAAGGACTCGACGAGTTCAAATGGAAAGTCTTGATTCTGTCACAAGGAGAAACTCGGTGAGTTAGAGGGTAACTCTTCGAGTTTGATCGCGAATTCGAGATTCTCTGAATTATGGAACTCGACGAGTTGAGGGACCAACTCGGCGAGTGGAGTCAACCAAGGTGTTGACTTTGACTTTGAATTTGACCATTACCCAAGATTGACCCTTAAAGAGGATATGAATAAAAAGGAATAACTAAAGGAGTCTGTTATGTGTAGGAGTTTGAGGAGAGTTGATCCCAACACCGAGGATAGTTCAGTTACTACACGACACTGAAGTGAGTTACTTTCCAGTAGAAGTGGGTCTATGGCCACAATGTCAGCCCACTAGTAGGAGATGGTTGTTAGATAATTGTCTTTGTGATAATTATCTGGTATGTTATGTTTTATGTGATAGTATGCTATGTTGATATTTGATAAGGGTAGGAGGGGTTGGATAGACCCCCAGTACCAGTCGATAGGACCGAAGGGGTAGGCCAGCACCCTCATCTGCTAGGCAAGTTACCGGTTGAAAGAGACCGAAAGGGTAGCTAGTACTCGGATATGTTAGACAGTATGTGCTATGTATAGTATGTGGTATGATGGGGGAACTCACTAAGCTTTCTGCTTACAGTTTACAGTTTTTGTTTCAGGTCCTCTTTCTTCGAAGGGAAAGGAGCCGACTCGGTAGAAATGCATCACACCATTATTTCCGCACTATGTTGTTTTGGGGATTGTACTCTGACATTATTATTATTTTATGATATGGTTTTGAGACATGCAATCTATGGTTTTATTAAAAGAAATAACTTGACGATGTTTTCTTATAAACTGTTTTATAAGTTACTTAATAAAAAAAAATTGGTCTTGGAATTTGGGATGTTACAATTCCTTTGTACGACATGGTTCTAATTGCCTTATTATTGACGTGTCTAAACCTCTTGTGCCATAGTTCAATGATGGAATCACCACTTACTTGTAAACACTCTAGTTGTTGAGGTTGAGATAAGGCATACACAGGGAACATCTTATTCTTTGTCATGTTGGATGAAATGATCAAACCCTTTTGAAGATGAAAGACCCTACAAACATTTCGTTGAATGACAAAAGTCAAGTATTTTTCTTGAAGTTGTCCAATGCTCAAAAGCTTCGATGTTGGAGATAACACATAGTAAACATTTGTAATCACCTGTATCATGCCATTCACACTGATATGAATATCACCCTTTCCTTTAACTTCGAACTTGTGGTCATTCCCTAGTCTGACTTTGTGTTGGGATGTTTCATCTATGTAGATGAACCATTCTTTGATGCCCGTCATGTGGTTTGAGCAAGTTGATTCCATAAATCAGAACGCCTTCTTATCGTGTTTATCTTCTTTCACAGTCATCATTATCCTTTTGGTTTCTCTTTTGTATCTTTCAATGTCAACAGATGTCATCAGTAGAATTTCTTCATTCTCTTCAAATTCTATATAATTTACTTGTTTAGCCTCATTTGGACATTCATATTGAAAGTGTCCAAACTGATGACATCTATAACATTCAATCTGATACTTGTCGAATTGTGGCTTGTTCTCGCCTTGTGATCTTCCTCTGCCACGTCCTCTTCCCTTGTGTGAATTCCCTCTACCTCGACCTCTACCTCGTCCAACACTCTGATCACTTTCGACCTTTAGAACTTATTCATCATTCACCTTTTCTTCTGATCTTATGTTCGTAAATTAGCAATGAGCTTTGAAGCTCATCTATTGTCATGGAGTCTATGTCTTTTGATTCTTCTATGGTACAAACCACAAAGTTGAAACTTTATGTCATGGTTCTTAGTACCTTTTCCAAATCTTCACATCAGTCATGTATTCCCCTGTATTTTGCATATCGTTTGAAACCTCCATGAGGTTTGAAATCTTCACATCAGTCATGTATTCCCCTGTCCAAGATAATCAGTCACCCTCTCTCCAGCTTTCATTTATAGAGTCTCGAAATCTCTAAGAATTCGCTGCAATTGGGCTCGCTTCACTCTGGCGTTTCCTCAAAATTTTAGCTTCATGGCATCCCATATCTGTTTTGTCGTTTCCTTCTGTTGGATTTGCTTTAAAATCGATTTGTCTATCGATTGGAACATGTAATTGCAAGCTTTCAGATCTTTAAGCTTGTTCTCCTCATAGTTCTTATGTTGTGTCGCTGTTACCTGTTCTCCTGGTCTGATCACAGGGTACCCATCATCTACCACTCGCCATTACTCTTTCGATCGGAGAAGGTTCTCCATTACCATACTCCAATGATCGTAGTCTCCATCGAATTTGGGTACACTAGGGCCATGAAACTGTCCTGTTTCCTCCCCCATGACTGACGGTGATTTTTCTTTTAGCACTTCTTAGGAACTCTCGTGAATGGAATTGTGTTGTGATACCACTTGTTGTAAACAAATGATAACAATCGATTCGACTCACAATGTCTAACACATTTATTCAAGAACAAAGGGACTTCTATAGCCATTACAAATAACGGAAAGAACGAGAAAGACTCAAAACATAACAAATTTGATACCTTCCCAAATTCTCCTTCAACACGAAGCAGAAGGGAACGACCTGGTACTTCGGATTACTAAGTCACACCGACTCTTGGCTTTGGGCCTTATTTCAAAAACAATCTAGAAAGTGTGGGCTGACCCAAAACATTGAGATTGGCCCAATAATAATATGATTGATTTTTTGTTTTTGACCGATGAATATAAACGCACGTTGGCAAAAAATAAAGTTAGTAGGTCGAAACTTCCGAACACAAGTGCTCATGGATGTAGGTCCTATGCTCAATGACGTTACTTAGAGGTAATAAAATATATTAGTATTATTTAAAATTATTATTAACATTTGTATAAATATATTTATTATTTTTGACTTATTATAGGAACAAATGGGACTGAAGCCGCAACATATTGAAGGTTGGTGACAAATGTGATTCAAAGAAGGTCCGGGTTGGTGTACAGGTCAAGCACAACAAGATTGGGTAAGTGATAAACGAAATAAATACGTTGTTTAAATATGTTATTATTATTAATTATAGTTTTTTGTTTAAGGTATATTACTATTACTTTAATGTTTAAATTTAGTTTGTTTTAAATATCGTATGTTTATTGTTTTCTTTATTTTAGGAGAAAATTCAAGACGAATATGAGAAAATGCAAAGTGAGGTCGGGGAAGGCGTAGAAGTAGATGAAGAAGAATGTTTAGAACGTGCCCCTGGGACGAGACGCGGGCATGCTCGCGGAGAGGGTAGGAGACCAACCGCCAAGTTCGATTTAATTCCAAATGAACGACCTTCCATTTCCAAATCTTCTCAATCTCAATCCAAATGTCAATCCCAATTTGATGCACAACAAATGCAATAATACTTGCAACAATATAATGCATCATTGGTGGCATGTATTCCTACTTCCAACCACCACCATTTCCTAACTTTCTATTCAACACTAACACACAAGGAAGTACCCCTCAACAATTTGTCGAGCCCGAGAGGATGGAAGAAGAAGAAGAAGAAGATGGTGATGTTTTGTGTTATTTTGCACAATGTTAAGTACTTATTGTAATATTAAACTTGAATTTGATGTGTTTTGAATTTGAACAATGGTAGCTAGTTATTGTATCTCAATTGATATACGCTGCAAAGTTTTTGGATTTGTTAAAAATGCAGGAATGAAAATGTACAGAATCTGTAAAAACTAAAAAAAAAAAACAACCAGTGCTATCCCGACAAGTCGTCACCATAGGTATTTAATCGACAACTGTGAAAAACCTGTAGCGACGACAATTCGTCGTTATAGCTTGTACCTATCCCGACGACATGTCGTCGCCACAGGTAATTAATAAAACGTTATTTTTTTTCGAAAATATCCTCTACGAAACCACAAAATGTCGCCGGAATAGGGGGAACCTATGTCGACTATTTTGACCTATCCCGACAGGCCTATGCTGACGACTTGGTACCGACGACATGTTGTCGGTATACCCTAAGGCGACGACATGTCGTCGGTACAGGGTCAAAAATTGTCGTCGCCACAAGGGGTTAACCGTTAATGTTGTAGTGTTATGATACCTCGATGTAAAATTCCATTGCAGCTGTAACTAAAAACTATAACAATATCTTTCTTGTATGACACCTTTTTTTTAATATCGTACACTATTTTCGTCTAAAATAATGAATCCATGTACCTCTCTCCACAACACGGGACCAACAACTTCTAGTTAATCATATTTTGATCTATAAAAACGATTTGGCGATTGTGATGAAATATGCTAACGGAGGAGAACATGTTTAAAAATTGTAATTCAAGGCAGATCTGATGAATCGGAACCTTTAGTTTCACAAATGTTTAATTTATTTTATAGTTTACTTCATCTAATATTCTTTATTTATTTTAATGTTTTTTTTTCCAAAATTTTAGATTTTTATTGCCTTAACTTTGTAAAATCTAACCGTTTTTTCCAAACTGTTCATTTTAACTAAAATTTTACTAGTAATATATATACACACATGTTAAGATTTACAGGGAAAAAACAAAAAGAAATAATAAAAAAAGTAAAAAACCTGATAGAATTTGATAAATAAAAAATAAACATAATTTAACAAGAAACTCCATCGCATTCACTGGAGCACGTGGGACAACTAGGGACAAGTGTCGCGATTTCCTTCACCACCTGAGCTTTATCCGCTTCGAATTGCTCATCGGCTAAATCAGATTACGATTTCAAAAATCCCAATTAAGTTGCAGAATTTGAAAACGCCAATGAACTTATGTAAAGATGAAAACAATTTATATCACCTTTATCGAAAGTGAAATCACTGAAGAACCGAATGAGTTTGCTCCGATTTGCAATCAGAACGTTGACGATATCCGGCGGTTTGTTTTGATTTGCAGGGAAAAGCTGATTCCGATGATGAACGGGAACACGATTAGATTTAGATCTGGTAATAGAACATCACTGGAATCTTGAATTACCTTGAAGACATGGAAAGCTTGCAATTGTATGGTTTTGTTTGAATCTCGGAGAAGATTCATGAGAATCCTCATGTTTTGCAATGAGCTCACGTATCGAACCATCACAGCAGTATTAGATCGATCGAGTAACATCGCTCCTAAAAGCTGTGAAATATTTTTAAATTTTGTTATTAATTACCGAAAACATGAATTTAATAAAAGATTTGAAGGTGGAGAATCGTAAACCTTGATTGCATTCCTTCTGGTGATATAATTAGACGATTCCAGAAGCTTATTATACTCCATGAAGAACTGCAACCACGATACATAGGTAACAAAACTCGAAAGAATATGACGGAAATAAACCCTGGAATGGAATCTTGAATTCCAATTCTATCTGATTCACTCGAAATCCAAGAACCAAACACGTAGGAAAGTGAAATCACTCAAACATGTGACAATTGAATTCTAAACACATTTTGGCAACAAACATGTCATGCAATAGAATCTTGAATTCCAATTACGTTGGATTATACAAAAGACGATATTATACAAATCATAACACTTACCCAATCGTAATTATTGTTAAGATATTCAGCAACGATTGATTTATGTCTGGTTAATAGCTCCTTAAACGTTGCTGCTGCATCTGATTCTATGTCAAAATTCGGATCATGTTGAAAGTCGAAAAACATTTGCATATGATTCGATTCCAAGATATATCTACAACATCAACCCAAAGTAAGCAATCTATGCATTTCATTTCATTATCAATAAAGAATATTTACTTCATTAATAGTAATTGAATTATGGCAAATCAAATGCATGCTCACTTTGCAGCAACCTGATGCCAAACGCAGTCTCTCAAAATAGCACCATAGGAAATAGCAGCTTCTGGATCATCGTAGCTGAACATTTAACATTTTACAATGATGTGTTATTATATATACCATAATGTAACGTATACTTATTTTTGATAATTCAAAAGCTTACCCAGGTATCAACATATCGAGAATCTCGGTGTTTTTGTCTAGATATTCAGCAGCAATGCATCGATTATGAACTTTTTGCCTTAATAGACTTGCAACGACATGAGTGATGTCTTGACGTGCCTGAAAGAATCAAGATAATACCAAATTCATCGAGATTTTCTGTGATGAAAACAAGAAAAAATCGAACGTACTCCAGGATCCAAATTAGGAAGGTAAACAACTAGAAGACGTAATATATCCTCTTTGAAGAACTCCTGAGTTAACTTGGAACAAGGCTCTAAATGTGGTTGCGACGTTTCATCGCCAAAAAGTACTACCATCATTTCATGAATAAGTCTCGTTAATTCACGAGCCTGAATGAAAACTATAGTTTCAGTAAAAATAACCCTAACACCAATGTTGAAATCTTCATGCAGAGACATTATAGATTATGCAATATACATGTATACCTTCTCTTGGCGTTTAGCTTCACGAATATCCGGATTTGCATTTACGAAGGTAAGAAGATCACGGACGTGATGAACGAGCTCAATAGGTGTGAGAGCTTTGGAACTGAATAATCGTTTCATTTTTATGGGAATACACAGAGTACAATTGTGATCCCTTGTGTGTGATCGGAAAACGGAGAATTCCTCCGATCAATGATGATACTTCCGTTGTTAAAATTACAGAGAGAGAAAAGATGATTGAAAGTGTAATCACGTCCCACAAATTACCTAATGGAAGAGAAGATTAGTGAATGGATATTGTTATTTACCCGAACGATTCGTAAAACCACTTAAGAAATTGTGATTTTTATTTTTTTGTCGGCCGTCAGAAAGTAACAATATGAGTTTGACGGTTTGTGATTCATTCATTCAATCAAATGCTAATGCTAAATATTACATATTTAACCCTTGTATTTAAAGTTTATTTTCAATTTTTATGATTTTTTGTATTTGAAATTTTAATTTTAGTTTTTTCCTTGTTGTTAATTTGGTATGCTTTCCCATAAACTAAAAGTCGTCTTCTTGTTTTAAACGGAACAAAAGCCTTTTTTTAGATTCTTCTTTTACGATTTTCAAGAAATTAAGAGATGAAAAAATAGTTGTATACCAACTCTATAATGATAGATCAATCAAAATCTTTTAATTGGACTTATTCTTTCAATTGATATTATTTTCCCTTATTTTACAAAAAAGCAAACTGTAACACCCATAAAATTCAAGCCAATTTAAAACTTTTCAAAACATTTAAAACCAATAATTATTACAAATTTGTTTTCAAAATAGTCTAATATCAGAGTTCATCCCAGGAGCATAAATAAAACATGAGGAGCTGTACGATCACGCCTTCGCCTTACCGCGATCCCCTGATGTACCTGAAACGATAAACTGAAACTGTAAGCCCAAGGCTTAGTGAGTTACCCCCAAAATACCAACCTCATAACCATAATCATATCATATAAACAAACATAGAACAGCTTGCATGATGAGCCTTCAGCCTGAATGGACCGTCTCACAGGCCTTCAGTCTATCTGGACCGCTCTCCGAGCCTTCGGCACGTTTGGACCGCCTCGCAGGGCCTTCAGCCTATCCGAACCGCTCGCCGGACCTTCGGTCTGACTATCATACCCTCCTGGGTCTGTAGTCTATCCGGACCGCCCTGGGTATGTTGGCCTTCAGCACGAAGCAGGACCGCCACAACCCAAACCCCCAATCAAACAAACATGTGCACATACATATCATACGCTAGCATATATAACAGTCAACCGATCTAACAGATCAAATAGCATAGCAACATCCTATAACCAGGATACCGACCAAACCGGTCACTAATATAGCATCATCCTATGCCCAGGATACTGACCTAACCAGGTCAGTAACATATGTACAGATCGTCATACGGATCTAACAGATCACATAGCATAGCAACATCCTATAACTAGGATAACAATCCAAAAGGGCCGACCTTGGTGCCTTAGACCCTATCAATATAGTGAGGAGAACTCACCTTGCAACTGTCGACTGGAAATAGAAAGCTCAACTCTCAAATCATCGCCACGAACTCCACCACCTATATCCAAACACGTCATAAGTTCATGAATTCCCAGATACCCCAGAAGTGAACTGGTCAACCCTTGGTCAACGTCAAAGTCAAAGTCAACTGCCCGAGTCAACAGTCCTTGTTGACCTAAACTCGTCGAGTGTATCCAGCCACTCGCCGAGTTACCGACATAAACCATCCGCTCGCCGAGTCACCGGAGTGACTCGTCGAGTTCCTAAGGCTCGCGATCGAAACTCCTACACCACTCGTCAAGTTTTTCCCTTGCAACTCGACAAGTTCACACGCACCCAATGGTTGGTAAGAACCTTAACCGACTCGCCGAGTCATTCTACTGACTCGCCGAGTCTATGACAATCTTCATCGGACTCGCCGAGTTGTTCATCCAACTCGTCGAGTTCATGACCATCTCCTTATGACTCACCGAGTCGACTTTGCGGCTCGCCTAGTCCCTTCAATCCTTCATCCCTACAGATGCTTTTTAAGCCATGCAAAGGTTCCAGATTATAGATCCAACCTTCCAACGCCTGCTTATCATGTAAAGTTGCAAACTTTACGTGCATGCAAAGCTTTAAGGCCCTTAAATGACAAATCTAAGCTTGCAATGAAGTCTCACACTTGAGGGAAGGCTTATTCTAGGCAAGGCTGATAACTTTATGGGTCTAGAGGCCAAAGGGAGTCCAGATCTGAAGTTACAGCTTCAGATCTTAGCTCAAACATAAGAAGCCTTCCATAAAACCCATCCAAAAGAGATCTTTGATGAACATGAGCCAAGGAAAACAGTCTAATACCTTCAAGAGAGTGTTCACTGATGTAGATCTTGAATCCCTAGCGTTCTTGCTTCTATTTGTTTGTTTTCCCCAAGTGTTTCCTCCTCCAAAACTCCTCCTCAAAGCTGGGAATCGGGGCGTTACAATTCTCCCCCACTTGAATTAGACTTCGTCCTCGAAGTCTGCTGGGGTAAACAACATCGGATAATGCTCTCGCATCTCTGCCTCCGGCTCCCACGTCCATTCGGATCCCCTCCGATGCTCCGACTGCACCTTTACCAAAGGTATTTCCTTGTTCCGTAGAACTTTCATCTTCCTCTCCAAAATGGCCACAGGCCTCTCCGCATAATTCAGGCGCTCATCGACCTGAATATCATCCAACGACACTACTGCCTCCTGATCCAAAACACACTTTCGCAGATGAGAAACGTGGAAGGTGCTATGAATTCGGCTAAGCTCCTCCGGTAGCTCTAGCCTATACGTCACCTTGCCAACCCTGGCAAGGATCCTGAATGGACCAATGAAACGGGGACCCAATTTTCCTCTTTTCCTGAAGCGGATCACACCCTTCCAGGGTGAGACCTTCAGGAGTACCATATCACCCACCTGAAATTCTAACTCAGATCGGCGTTTGTCGGTGTAACTCTTCTGCCGACTCTGAGAGGTCTGCAGTCGCTGCCTAATCTGCTGAATCTTTTCGGTAGTCTGCAGGACTACTTCCGTTCGCCCCATCACCCTGTGTCCGACCTCAGCCCAACAAACCGGGGTGCGACATCTCCGCCCATACAACAACTCGAAAGGCGAGCGTCAATGCTGGAATGATAGTTGTTGTTGTAGGCGAACTCTGCAAGCGGTAGGTAGGAATCCCAGCTCCCGCCGAAATCAATGACGCATATCCTCAACATATCCTTGAGGGTCTGAATGGTCTGCTCGCTCTGACCGTCAGTCTGCGGATGGAATGTTGTGCTGAAGTGAAACCTCGTGCCCAGCTCCTCGTGGAACTTCTGCCAGAAACGGGAGGTAAACCTAACATCCCGATCGGAGACAATGGAGACCGGAACCCCATGGCGAGCCACAATCTCGCGGACGTACACGTCGGCCAACTTCTCGGCCGAAGAACTCTCCCGTATGGGCAAGAAATGGGCACTCTTGTTCAATCGATCCACGATGACCCACACGGCATCCAACCCCTTCGTTGTCCTCGACAGCTTAGTAATAAAGTCTATCATGATCTGTTCCCATTTCCACATGGGAATCTCCAGGGGCTGCAGCTTGCCATGCAGCCTCTGATGCTCGGCCTTGACCATCCTACAAGTCAAGCACCTCTCGACGTACCAAGCGATTTCTCGCTTCATGCACGGCCACCAGTAGCTCAAACTCAAATCCTGGTACATATTGGTGGCCCCCGGGTGAATAGAGAAGTGAGACTTATGAGCCTCCTCCATGACTGTCTGTCTGACCCCACCAGACATCGGAACCCATACACGACCGCATCGGGTTAATAATCCCCGGCTATCCTGCACAAACCGGATGTTCTCACCCTGACCCTCTCCAGATTCCAATTCTCTGGCCGCATGCCCTCGACCTGAGCGTCCCTGATCAAGCTCATAAGCGGGGAATCCACCACTATCCTCATAAACACTGCTGGGGTGGAAGACCCAGCTGCCTTGCGGCTCAAGGCATCCACCACCACGTTCGCTTTACCAGGGTGGTAATGTTGGATTATGTGTCTAAGTTCATAACTATTTCTGGAATGTACTTGACCCGATTAGCATGGTCCATTTGGGTTGCATGGCATCATGCATTTGGATAGACTAAAATGAGAGAAATAACACTTAAGGTTTATTAATATATTATAAGTTCTAATATATTAATAGTATTATTTAGTTAGTATTGATCAAGAATTAATTTGGAATTAATTAAGTGATCAAAAGAAGACTAATTAAATATATGGGTTGATTGTGTAAATCATCCATACTTATATAGTGGGCTAATGCTTCATGGATTATCAAGTTGGGCTAAAACCCATAGGATGCTCCATGGATGCTCCATGGTGGTTATAGAACCCATGGGTCATGGAAATGAAAAGTCATGACAATTAGGGTTTACATGGTGTAACCCTAATTTTAACACACTATATAAGCTTCACTTTGTTCACCAAAATCGGCCACTAAGCATACAAGTGTGGGCTAGCCGATTTCAAGAAGTGTTTCATTTCTTTCTAAGTTATTCCAAGTGCATTTTGTGTTGTGTGAGACATTTGAGGCATCACAATTGAGGTGCTAGGCTCACAAGGTTTTCAAGGAATCCTAACTACTACAAGGTATGTATTTCCTACTAACTTTTATGATGAAAAGTTCCCCATGTATGCTAGATAGGTTATGAACCTTGGAAAAACAATTTTGCATGTATCATAGATAAAACATAGATCCAAGGTTTCTAGGCTTGCATGTACACCATAGGAGTGTTAGAATGCTCAAAACCCTTCAGTGGTATCAGAGCCTAGGCTTGTTTGTTTGATACTTGATGCAAAATTGTGAAAAAACTCTGTTTTTCTTCACTCTGCAGCATGAACTCGCCGAGTCCATGGGGGGACTCGACGAGTCCATGACCAAATTCATCCTACTCAACGAGTAGGCTCTTGCACTCGACGAGTAGGAGCCCCTGAATGTAGATTTTCGAGTTTTGCTGCTGGAAATGGACTAGAAACATTACCCTAAACTGTTTTGGTGTTATAAAACTTGTTTTAGATGGTGTAATGGTTGTTCTAATCCATTTACAATTGCTAATATCAAAATTTCATGTTTATATGTGTTCATATGTTCTTGAAATTTTGATAGGAATATTCATGTTCTTATGAGTTCTTGATAGATCATAGGAATTACTTGTTTA